GTGTGTGCGTGCGTGCGTGTGTGTGTGTGTGTGTGTGTGTGTGTGTGTGTAGGGTGAGCGCGCCGACGGTCCCGGCCTGCCGCATCCACGAGGCGCTCGGGTTCGGAGAGTCCTGAGACGCGGCGTGCTCGCGTCAACAGGGGCATATGAGCGTGCGCCCCGCGCCCCGCCGCGCAGAGCGGCGCCCTCACCATGGGTTGCCCCATGCCCTGCCACACGTGGCGGTCGTTCAGCTCGTGGATGGCGCGCGCCGCGTCCCCCGCGGACGACATCGTCACCAGCCCGCACCCCTTGCTGGTGGGTGCGCCCTGCGAGGGCGGGCGGCGGGCGGCGGGCGGTGCCGGGTCCGCGCGCGGAAAGGATGCCTGTGCTCGCCGCGCGCCGTTTCGCTGCGGGGCATTGAGCGGAGCTGGGGCGGGACACGGCGAGGGCCGGGCGCCGCTGGAGGGGCCGCGCGCGCTCTTGCCTGGAATGCGCGGAAGAGGTTGACGGCGGAGACGCGCCCGAATCGCGAAAAAAGGGCGCGCACGCTCTCCTCGGTCGCGCTGCGCAGCACGCGCGCGAAGAAGACCTGCGACACGCCGGCGGCGGGCCGGGCCAGTGAGCTGAGGGGCGGGGGCGCAGCCGCATGCGAGAGGCCCGAGAAGGCGCCACACCACGCCACATCTTGCACACAGCCACAACGCGCTCGGCAGCCCCGTCGCCGCCGTCGCGCGGCGCAGGCCGGCGCCCTGCGATGCTGTTTCGCGCGCTGCAGCTCAGCACCGCCGCGTCTCATATGACGTGGCCCCCCCAATCGGCGCTTGGCCCACCGAGCGGTCGTCCAACTGGTCCCCTGGCGGGCCGACAGCGTCCGCGCCCGCCTTAGTCGTGTTGCGCCGCGCCCGCAAGTCAGTGTCCGCCCACTTGACGGACAGCGGCGCCGCGGCGCCATCCTGCGCTTGGAAGGGGGGAGGCGCCGCCGTTGGGCGAGCCTGCGATGGCGGGTCCAGGTGCGCCTTGGCAGGCATGCGACGACGCGAGCGCAGCAACGCAGTCACCGCGGCGCCACCTGCGAAACACGCGGCGCCTTGCGAGGCGCAAGCAGCGGGCCGCGCGGTCAAAGCTGCGGTCCAAGGGCGCACCATGGTGTGCCGCTCGTCGAGGCTGTCCATTGCTGCGACCGCCTCCTCGCGTGACGCCATCATCACCAGGCCGCAGCCCTGCGCGACGGCAGGACAGCGAGGGCCTTGTTTGTGTGTGTGTGTGTGTGTGTGTGTGTGTGTGTGTGTGTGTGTGTGTGTGTGTGTGTGTGTGTGTGTGTGTCGCGCGGGAGGGCATGTGTACAGGACGTGCAAGATAACTGGCTCTGCTGGCCCAAGGCATGGGATGATTCCTCTGTTTCACCCTAAGCCAAAGAAGCCACACGCCACAAGTGTCCAGCAGTGGCCGCAGCAGCAGCAGCAGCTGCAGCAGCAGCTGCTAGCGGCAGCAGCAGCTGCTAGCGGCAGCAGCAGCTGCTGCTGCTGCTGCTGCACATGCCCGCACGCAACCCAACCGCGGCGCAACCCACCTTGCTAGCGCGCGTGTCGTGCTCCCTGAAGAGGCTGATGGTGTCTACCGTGCCAAACCTGCCCGGGCCAAAGCCACAAGAATGGGATGCGTGCCGCCCTTCCAGTGCTGCATCAGCAGGCCAGCGACAGGGGGCTGCCCGCGCGACCAGCATGCACATGGCTCCGCTGTTGTTGCTCAGGCTATGGAATCGCCACACCCCGCCCCTGCCAATCCCCGGGCCTGCCGCCCGCCTGCTGGCTGTACTGCTGCAGCAGCTGCCCCCTCGCGCACACCGCAAAGCTCATGGGCCAGCGTCCCTAAAAGGTGAGGCGCGAGCCCTTCGCACCTAGCAAACAGCGCCTCAAGCTCGCTCTCAGCCACGCTGAGTGGCGCGCGCGAGAAGAAGAGCTGCCTGTTGTCGGACGGCCCCGACCCAGCCGGGATGAACAGGCGGCTGCGCGCGAAACGGACCTGCATTGTTCACGGCGGTGGCCGGGCAGCGGGGGTGAGCGGTGGCTGGCCAGCTGTGTACCCCTTGATAAGCAGCTGGCGCCTGGTAGGGTCCACAGCAACCCAGAGCTCGCTGTGATGAGCCGCGTGCCGCTCCGGCCACGGCCCGCACACAGCAGAGGCAGACTGTTTTGCAGCTCACCTCGAGCGGCGTGGCTGCGCCGGGCAGGTGCACCCGGTGGTTGAGCTGCTCGATCGCGGCCTCCGCTTCCTGTGAAGTCTCGTAGCCGACGAACGCACAGCCGCGCGATTGGCCGGTAGCGCGCTCCCGCAGAATCTGGACGTCGATCACGGTGCCGCACTGCGGCGGCATGGATGATGGGCGATGCAGGGTGCCGTCACGTGCGCGGTCTGTGGACGCATGGCGCCTGCGGTACGCACGCCAGCCACTTCACCTGGTTGAACAGTGGCCTAAGCTGCGACTCGATCATATTTTTCGGAAGTCCCGCAACGTAGAGCCTGGCCATGTGCTCGCATGAAGTGGGACGCGGCCACTCCGGATCCCGCGGGGACTCGCCCTGAGACCCGTCGTCCGCCACCTGCGCCTGCAATGTAAGAAGCGTGCTTGATCCAGATTCCCCGTGCAGTCACGACGTGCCGCCACGAACTCCGTCAAGCCCAAAGGCATTTACCATCAGTACAGCTCCACTGGCAGGCTCCTGTGGTCCCAAGAGGACGGGGGCAAGGCCCCCGACCCTTACTCAGTTCAAATAGCCAACTCGTAGACACAGCAAGGAAGGAAAACGACGATCTGAAGCTCAATTTATGCTCTCGCTGCCTGTTCGCGAGAGAAAGTGCAGCTTATCAATGAAACATTTGAATACGAACGACCACCTGCATGCATGGACCTTGAAGTGTGGCCATCAACGTCCCCAGCTGCACTCGTAATTTCTCGACACTGCTTACTTGCTATTGAGGAGGCGTGGCCGGCAGTAGAGGTTCATAATCACTGCGCGAGACGGGTATCACCCGGATTTCTGTTTCTCCACAGCATCGCCGTTGTGGCGAGGCGCCGTCGAGCTGGGTGGCCGCAGCCCCGCACAACCGCTCAGCTCCGCGGCCGGTGCCCCCAGCACCCACCTGACGTTGCGTGAGGTGTTACGTTCAAAACCGGACCTTCAGGGTCATTCGCAGCCTCTGGCTGGAGCGTCTCTGTTTTGCAATCCCCTGGGAGAAAACATCTGGTCAGCAGTGCGCGTTCTCAGCTTACTGCAGTGGCTGCGCTCCAGGGGAGGAGTGAAGGAGCAGCTGTGGCAGAAGGCTAGCGGCTAAAGCCATGGCGCTGCTCAAAAAAAGCAGCACCTGGCAGACAGCGGGTGTGACACCAACTGCTTGCCCGAGACACTTTTGGGGTGGCAGCGGCCACCTTGCTTTCTTGTGCTTGGCACCACAAACAGTGATGGGTCAGCTACCCGACCCATTCCGCTCACCCATTGACAAAGCGAAGTCTGGTGGGCGCCGCGTGGTCGCTTGATGCGAGCCTGCACTTGCATTTGCACAGTGGTTGAGCGACCGTGCTCTGGGCCCCCAAAGCAGGCCGCCCATCAACACCACTGGTGTGTTCCCCAGTACTTGCGCACATGATTTTTTCTCCGATTTTCAGGGCACGCGTGCGACAGGGCGCTTTAGCTTGCGATGGGCTGCCGCGGCAGAGCCGTGGTGAGCATGCTATCTTCGTATTTCCATTAATGTCCCACTATTGTTTTCTTATCACGACAACCATCGGCGGCTTTTGCTTGTGGCTAGTCAGCTTGAGCAGCAGCCTCCACTCCACTGGAGCCGCTCTCGCTGTCTGGAAGGACACGCACCCCGTGCACACCGGCCGTCACGGGTGCAACCGGGTCACGCGGCTGCGTGGGCCTGCAAAGGCAGTCACCTGAAGTTGCATGACTGACTTGCATACCCTGCTGTCCAGCTGCTGTTGAGTGTACTCACCACAGTCCTGATACACATCAGACATCTCGCTCGCCCACCGACTGGCAGAAATGTTAATGCCATTCCAACAAGGGGCAGATTCACCACATGCATGCAGACCACCATTGGTCAATGACACCTCACGGCCAGGATGTCCCGTGCTGCTCCTTCTCCACCCACCCCACCACCCAGTGTGGTGTGCTCCCATACCGCCTGTCCCCACGGCGAGCACAGTCAAACGAGCTGAATTTTCTTTGCAGTAATTTCTGACTGATTTCACTATCTTGCTTATCACTGACCAGGACAACCCTGCCCCTTGTACGGTAGTGCCCATGCGTTTTTGTGGTCTCGCCCACACTTGAGTGTTGCACGATGCAGCCGGTCAGCAGCATCATTTGCAACTTGGACCACAATTTCCTGATATGAGTAAAGTTTGGTAGCGACTTTTCATTGTGGATGGCGTTCTTCAAATGTTGGTGCAAATGGTATGAAGTGAAAACATACAAAAACATATCACAAGGTCACCGGCTCGATGCTCGCATGCCGGCCAGCTGGCGCGCCCATTGACAGAAGATCGCACTGCGATGGCGTCCCGCGCATGCGCATGAGCATCCAACGGATTGGTTAGCGCTGCTACAGGTCACTGGCCCACAGCTGAGCCGAAACCGGCATGCATCACGGCTGCACACACTAGGCATCACATCACTCAGTGCCACACCCCTGCCCCATCATCAACTGGTTCAAACCGCATGCGATGACACGTGCGGGTTGTGTCGGGCAGCTTGCCAAGCCACGCCTGTGAAGTGGCGCAAGCACGCCCGTCGCGCGGGCGCCGCAATCGACAGATGCTGTGAATTGGTTTGTTTGTGATTGATCTGGAAGTCAGGCCGGACGGGTGGGTGACCAATTGTTGAGTACGCTTTCCTGCACTCAACACATTCAATCAGGCAGTGGCTGTCACCATGCCAACACAAGAGCACATTGCCTGGTGAGCAGCTGCCTCTGGAGCATAGTCGCTACGACACCCATGTGAACGAGAAGCGCTTTCGCCGCCAGCCAGACAGCCGATGGGATGCATCTCCTCGTCAATGCCTGGGACGTTGGTGCACTGCCGCTGTGCTGCACGCGCTGTCGACGCATCTTGCCGACCTGTGGGGGCGCGACGAGCATGGTTGCATGGGTGCGTCACATTGCAACACACGCAATCAAGAGAGGAGCCTCTAAGCTCAGCCAAATACCAGGCGGCATTGCTGCTGGGAGGGACTAAATTCGCAGTGGACCCCAAATTTCGTTGCAGGCATGTCTGACGAGCAGAACCTGTGTGTGCATCATTCACCTTGTTCTTCTGTGCCGTGTCCTGTCCTGACTGGTCGCAAGTTGACTGATACCGCTGCAGGCCTTAGTGAAGGCTCAACGCCACCCGCCTGCAGCACCTGAACTGCGTGTCACGCCTCTGATCTGTCAGCCCGGCCCCCTTACCCGTGCACAGGACCCTTGCCAAGCCCGCCAGCATTGCCCCGGCTGCTGCCCCCGCTGCCTGCAAAATCGCCGCTGCCGCCAAAACTAGGAGTACCGCCCGCGTCACGCGCCGCCGCCTCTTCCTCAATAATTTGCTGTCGCCGCTTCATAAACTGCTCCACTGTCTTCTGCACTGCGTCCCTGCCGGTGACTAGCATTTTGCTGACCAGCTCTGGATCGTCCTCGCGGCGTGCAGCCTCGAGCTCCTGACGCGCGCTGCTGCGTATGACGTCGCGCCAGACTCGCCCATGCTGGTCGCGCCAAACAAAAAGGTTGGAGTATCGAAGCACGTCGCGGTAGAGCGCGAGGGCCTCTCTGCGCGTGGTAAGCAGCAGGGGCCGCTGGCTGCCGTCCCTCTTCTTGGGGCCGCGCACAATGGTGCTCTCAATCAGATCAGCGACCTCGCCGTCGTCAGCACCGATCTTGCCATCAGAAAACATGCGTGATTGCTGCAAGGCCGCCAAGTTACTCGCTGACGGGTGCAAGGGCGTCGAGGCGAGCCAGGCAAGGCGGAGGATTGTTGCCATGATGTACCAGAGAAAGGACTTGTTGTGCAGGTCCTTGAATACTGCTGTCGTGGATATCTGTTCTGATCAAACAGGCTGAGGCTGGCTAAGGCTGCCTGTGTGCCTGCTGCGCTGAGGAGGCGTGCTGTGCTCGTTCTGGCAGGTGCTGGCAACACCCGAAGCTGGACCACCTTGTTGCAACTTATGGAACAGGATACGAAGGCACGGGGGCCATTTTCTCATCTTTTATGTACAGTAGATGCTAATAGGGCGTGCTGTTGTGCAGCCACAGAAACTGACCAGCTCACATCCTGCCACACCCAGGGCCCAGGAACCACGGGCCCAAGCACACCCAGCACCACACGGCCCCATACCACCTGTTCACGACAACTGATCAGTGGTGGTCATCATGGCGGCCCCCAATTTTGCTCCACACTAGTGGTACAGGGATGAGCTGGCACCAACCCGAAGTGCTGTGCATGCCAGTGCACCTTGCCTGCTGTGGCGGATGTTTTGCATAGATAGGTCACGGTCGAGTGACCCCTACCATCAGGGCACAGCACACTAGCCTGCCAAAAGCAAGGCGTAAAGGTTGCCGGGCCACTAAGACCTGGGGCGCAGCTGCTGACGCGCTCTCCGGTGCCTGCGGCGCCGCGCTCAAAATGAATGCCTGCATTCTAGACGCATGCGGCTACTGCTGCTCAAGGCCAAGATGCTGAAAGCTGCAGTTGATGAGTATCACAAGCTGAAAATTGCGCGGGTTGCGAGGCGCAGGTGCTGGAACGTCGTTCCCAAAATCGGCAACCAAGAGGCCGCTTCCCTGCGGAGTAGGGACAAACACAGGGTTGTCGGGCACAGTGTGTTGCACTGTGGTGCCATGTGGCTCTGTATGGTGTGGATGGGTGGGTCGGCGGGCACTGATTCAGCCAGTTGCAAGCTGCAGCACTGCGAGGACCACCTCGTGTGAGCAGTCTGGCTGGTGCTTTTTCAACTAGCGTGCGCGGGACGCGCATCTCAGCTCTTACATCACCAGGGTTTTGGCACCCTTGAGCATGGGTGCCTCATCATGGGTCACCAAACCCTTTTCCCCTGATTTGTTTTGGACCCGCGGTGCAGTCACTGTGAACCGCGCCATGCATAGCCGCCACACACTTGGATTGAAAAAGATTCGCCTTTCATGGGAGCATTGAACCTGCCTCTAAAGCGGCCTTACAACAAGGAACCTCTGCGATCCTCTGTGCTTTTATGCGAGGGGTTTGATAGGGTTTGCGAAGGCGGATGGGGCAGTGTCGAGATGTTTCAGTTTGGCTTGTGCACGCACTGAAATTCTATACTCTTTAACGGCGGGCTTGTGGCAGGGGAGGGGGCCCGCGATGCTAATCCAAATAAAATTCAGAACACCAATTCAGGTTAGGCAGCAGGCGGGGGGGACACAAGTGGCCCTGTCACCCGTGCGGGTAGCACGGGTGACAATGCCCCTTTCGGCCGCGCACCGCGCATTTCGGTGCGGCGCGCGACACGCATCCAGTCAGCATGGCCACAACCAATCGGGATCATTAGATAATCATTATTGACGTGCGGTGAGCTGTGACGCAATAGACGAAGAAAAGAGCCGAGTTCTTCACAGCGTTATGGAGCGCAGTTTGGGCAGTTGAGCGCGTGAAAATCGTCACGAAGGACGTTTAAAGATGGCCTCAGGGGGCGTGGACGGCTTCTGCGCCCCCGCGGCCTATGCCCCCCCGCATCTGGCCCTGTCAGGTGAGCGGAACGGCGTTGATGCGGTGTGCGTGACAGCAAACATATGCAAAAACTTCACGTGACTCGTGCACCCGCCGTTGCACCGCAAAACAAGTGACGGCATGATGGTGCGTCGCGCAGAGCTGCCCGCTGGCCGTGCCGCTGCCCACCCAGCCCGCAATGCGCACTCCCCAAATTCTGCAGCGACGCTCGCGGTGCTGCTGCCGCTACTGGGCCTGGGTCGGCGCTTCGCCTACAGCCAGCTGCTGCAGCTGCTGGTGGTGTCGCAATATGCGTGCGCAGCCCTGCTGGTCTGCCCGGCGGGGGGGACGCCTCGCAGCTATGACCTCTTGCCACCCGCATACTATGCCGTCGGGTAAGAAGATTGCAACGCCACATGACCTGGATTTGCGCGCGTGGCTGTGACTCCGGGCGTGGGTCAAGGCGGGCAGCCGTATCGCCGGCCGCTGCTGGTGTCGGACCCGGCTCATTTGTGGCAGGGACGTCTGCTGCACCTGGGGTGGCAACTGCGAGACCTTAGGCCACACGGATCAATATGAAACTAACTTGCCGGTCCGCCACCCGCACGTGCCACGGCGCGCGCCGCAGGGGCGCCATGGGCGCAGCGGTCCTGCTGCAGTGCACTTCGGCGCTGCTGTCGTGGTACTTCCGGCTCTTCAAGAGCATGCAGGCGGCGGATGTCTGCTTCAATCTGGCGCATATCACCGCTGCGCTGGGCATCGGTGCAGCGGCGCATGTCAGCTGGGACCTGATGCTGGTGGTGGCGGGCATCATGCCGGGTGAGGCATACGCAGCGCGCACAGCACGCAGAGCGGGCGAAACATGCGCGGCGCGCAAGCAGGGGACGCGGGGTATGGACAGCGCACGGGACGCCTGGAGTTTGTTCAGGAAGTTGCAGCATGCGGCGGTGTCCTTGCCTTGCCGCGGCACAGCGTGCGCGGCATGTGCGGCAGCTGGCGACTTGTCGGCGCAGTGGAAGCTTTGATTCGGGTCCATCCTCCGCGCGGGCGTTGGAAGGAGGGGCCCTGTGCAGCACAGCTTGAGGCCTTGCTCAGCGCCATTTCTGCACCTGCCCCTGCTCGCGCTTCTCACTACCCTCCGCCCAAAACGCCCCCACGTCGGCCTTGCAGCCACTTCATCCCCACTCAACTATGCTTGGGAATGGGGGTCGCTGGTGGTGGGGGTGGTGCTGGTGCGGCAGCTGGGGGGCCTGCCGTGGCACCACGTGCGGCTGAAGATTGTTGGCGTGGCGCTGCTCTTCAGCGCGATCCTCATGGCGCTCATGAGGTGCGCATGCGGCCCCCATGTGGCCCCACGCAGGATGTTGTGTGTGCTTGCATGCGGCCCTAGGCGGCCCACCGTTGTTTTTGGGTGCGCAGATTCTGCCACATGCGTGCACCGCGCGTGTGCGCTGCTGCGTGCTCCTGCTAAGCGTGCCTCCTTCACTGAATTGCCTGCCGTGTGGGCGGCTGCATCTGCAGTAAGCTGCCGCTGACAGTGTGCGCGCCACACAAAACTGCGCTGGCGACCGCAGGCGCAGCCACGGGTCGCCGACGGTGTACGTCTACAACAGCCACCTGGTTACCCTGGTGCAGCTGCTGCTCCTGCAGGCGGTGGGCCACCTCGAGCGCACCAACCCGATGCGCCCGCCGCGGCGCCCGCTCAACCCGCTCGCGCCGCTGCTGGCCGCGGCTGCGAGGTGGCGGCAGCGGCGGCACGAGGCGCGGCGGGAGAAGCAGACTGCGGCCGCGGCGGAAGGGGATGCGGCAGCAGCGGCGGCGGGCGCGGCAGCGGCGGGCACGGCGGCGGGCAGCAAGGGAGCGGATGAGAAGGCTGGGGATGCCGCTAAGGGGCTGGCCGGCGATCAAAAGCAGGCCAACGGAGGGCAGAACGGCGATGGCAAGAACGCCGATCAACAGAATGGGAGTGTTGCGCCCAAGCCACCGCCGGCGGAGCAGCAGGGCAAGCAGCAACAGCAGCAGCAGGAGCAGCAGCAGGAGCAGCAGCAGCAGCAGCAGCAGCAGCAGCAGCAGCAGCAGCAGCAGGAGCAGGAGCAGCAGCAGGGGAAGGCGGCCGAGCCGAAGCCCCCGAGGATTGTGCCCAAGGTCCCGCCAGCATTGGATGATGTCCTGTCGGGTGCGCATGCAGCATGCTGGTTGATGATAGGGGGGCAGGGGTCTGGTGCATGCAGGGGGCTGCGCGTGCAGCTGCAGGGCTGCCCTGCGCACGGCGGAGACTGCGCGAGGAGGGGCAGATGCGCCAGCACCACCGCTGCACAACTACGTCGTGCTTTCGTAGAGGCGATCATTCTGCATCCGCGCATCGCGCCGCGGCAGCGCTCGCCGCGGCCGCGGCGCGGGCATGCCATGCGTGCCGCCGCCGCTGTCGCCGTGGCGCCCTGACTTGGCGTTTAGTGCCAGCGGCGGCCGATACCCGGCCGCTTGCCGGCGCCCCGACTCTCCCCCTCCCACCTCACATGCCCATTTCTCCCTTCCGACGAGGCCCCGCCCCTGCAACCGCGCCCCCCTCTCCACGGCGCAGTCTGCCGCCTTCCAGCGCTGGGGAAGCTGTTCATGCTCCACCTGGGCCCCAACGCGCCGCCGGGGCAGGAGGACGCCATCTCCAGCGGCGCCTTCAAGGTCCCCTTCAAGGCGGGGCCGTCCGACAGGTGCGCCCTCGCTAATATCATCTTTTCTTGCTTTAATCCTTTTGCGGAGACACCCAAGATGCACCTCCAGAGGACACGGTGGTCTGCGGTTGTCTGGCTGGGGGTACGTTTGCATGCTGGCCCGCACGCGCCGTCGCTGCTTGACCCCAATCCACGCGCCACGCCACGCCGCCGCACCCTTCACAGCGACTGGAGCTCGTTCTGGGCCGAGAGCGGCGCCGCGGGCGTCCCCGCGCGCCACAAGCAGCGGGCCGCGGACCTTCTGGGCAGCTTCCCGCCCGTCTTCGACACCGACGCCGTGCTCGAGCGCGCCGCGCCGCCCGGCGGCCCGCCGGCCGCGGCCACGATGGCGGCGCTGGAGGGCCTGCTCAACCGGACGCGCCCGCTCGCGCGGTTCCAGCAGGCGGGGGACGGCCGGCCGCGGCCGCACGGCATCCACCCCTTAGTCCTGCAGAACCCCATGGTCGACGAGGCCGCGACGCACGCGGCGATGACGTTCATATACACCACCGCGACCCGCGGCGCGTCGCGCGGCCTCTGGACGGCGCTCGCGAAGGTGCCGCCCGGCGGGGCCCTCGGGTTCGGCCCGCTGATCTTGTCTGCGCCGCAAACAAATGAGGCGTCGATTGTGGAGGCCCTCAACATGGTGCTGGGCGGCCAGGAGTACTGCAACCTCAACCCCGGCGCCAACGCGGCCGCGGGCGCGTCCGGCGCGGCGGGCGGGGCGGCGGGCGCGGCGAGCCGGCTGATCACGCGGGACATGCGGGAGCGCGCGCAGGCGGGCATGCCGGCGCTGCCGGCGGCTCTGAGGGGGGACCTGCAGGTGGGAATGACCACCTTGGAGCCTGCGCGTGCGGGACGCTCGAGTACGGGCGGTTTTGTGGGTGCTTTGCAGCCATGCTCCCTTGCTTTGGTGGGGCACCTCATCAGCCTCAACGCCCTCGACACCCAAGCCCCCGCCCTTGACCCAACAAGCCAACATCCCACGCCAGCGCCCCGCGGGCGTGTGCGGCTCGCCTCTGCCCACACCCCATCTTTACTACCTCCCATCTGCATGTTTGCACCTCCACAATTTCACGCACGCACTCACGCACGCACGCACGCACGCACGCACGCACGCACGCACGCACGCACGCATGCACATACACTACTCACTACTGCACGCAAACACACGTGCACTGTCAAAACCCCCCAGGAGCTGCTGAACCACATGGAGGGCGGCCAGGTCGCGGTGCAGCTCTGCCCCCGCGCCTCCCTCACCGGCGAGACCCCCTGCGGCCACTACCTACGCGTCTGGGCCGTCGCCGCGCCCGCGACGCCGGCCGCGGGCGGCCCGGGGTCGACCGTCACCGCGTCGGGGCAGCTGTTCAGCACCGGGGGGTCTAACCTGTCGGCCATGAGCTCGACGGCCAACATGACCGCCATGCGCACGGTCACGGGGCTGACCAACACGGGGCAGCTCATGTCCGGCGTTGGCATGTCGACGCAGATGACAAACAATCTAACAGAGAACATTGCCGCGCGCTGGGGCGCCGGCGGCGCCGCCGGCATCAGCGGCTTCGGGCTGCGCCAGCCGGGGCACCGCGCCCGCACGCGCCGCCCGTCGTTCGGGCCGCGCGCGTCGCTCGACGCGGCGCGGGCGTCGCGGCGGGGCAACGAGATGGGGCTGACCTCGGACGCGAACCTCAGCGGTGCAGTGCTGATGTCCAGCCTCTTCACAGGGACGGCGGCGCCGGAGGACAACAACGGGCTGGGGATTGGCACCACGTTCAGCGGCCAGCACACGGGGATGAACACGCTGCGCACCAGCTTTGGTGCGCTGGCCAACAGCATCGTCAACAGGTGGGGCTTGAGGGTTTCAGGGTTCAGGGTTCAGGCTTCCAGGGTTGAGGGTCTAGGGTTTGAGATTGGGCCCCCTCATCGTCTGGCGCATCAGACCGGGGGCCTGCGCGGCTGCATGCGCGTTTGCGCGGGGCAGGGGCTTTTGGCGGGGCCGCGCTTTGCGGCGCCCGGCGATGCGGGGGCGGTTTCCGCCGGCGGAGCGCGCCCTGCCCTGCCACGGCTGCCGCTCCTCGCCCCCCCGGGGCCACAAGCACGTGCGCGCCGCCTGCCCTCTGCTGCTTTCTACCTGACGACCAACCCCTGCGGCTTTGCCTGCGTCATGCAGCGCCTACATCGACAACACAATGACGGGCATGGCGCTGGGCAGCGACGGGCGCCCGCTGGACGCGTCGGAGGCCAACCTGCGGCCCGTGGCCATGCATGCGTTCGACCAGGCAAGCTGGCGCCGTGCCCGCGGCGCGCACGTGCGGTGTGCGGTGCCTTTTCGGCTCGCCTCGCGAGGCCAATCGGATGGCCTCGATTTCAGCAGCCTTTGGCCTGGTGAAAAGCACAAGGCGCAGGGCTGTCTAGCGCTCAATTTCCGACCAAACCAACGCCGCCGCGCCTGCTCGCCCTATGGCCCTGCGCACACGCGCGTGCCATGTGACACTCGCGCAGGTGGTGTCTGGTGCGGTGACCACGTTTGACGATCTGGCACAGGTCGCGGCGGAGGTGTCGGGCATCGCCTACACATTCTTTGTCGATGAGACGTGCCCGTCGGTCGCCGAGGTGTGTGTGTGTGACATGTCTCTCTTGTGTGTGTGTGTGTGTATGTGTGTGTGTGTGTGTGTGTGTGTGTGCGCGCGCGCGTGCGCGTGCGTGCATGCGCGCGTGTGCGTGCGTGCATGTGCGTGCGTGCGTGCGTGCGTGCGTGCGTGCGTGCGTGCGTGAGTGCGTGCGTGCGCGCGCGCATGGAAACGGAAAGGAGTGGAAGTGACCGTGTGTCTTCTATGTGCGTATATGTACACACGCACGTGTGCACGCGCGCGCGTGTGTGTGTTGGGATGTGAGCGCGTGCGTGTACGCCTGCATGCACGCGTGAGGAGTAAGCACGCTTCTCCGCGCCTGCATTGAGTGCGGCACGGCTCATCACCGTTGCGGGCGGCTGCCCTCTCGCCGGCACTCATGCTGCCCCGCGCCTGGCTGCGCTGCTGCACTCACATTGCGGGCTCAACCGCGGCGAAGTGCTTACAATCTCATCAACCCCCGTGCATCACGGTGGCGCGCACGCGCAGGCGCTAATCCACAGCTGGCTGTGCCTGAAGGGCCACTCTGTCGGCGCCTGCCGCCTCGCCGAGTCATGGTGCACGGCCATGCGCCAGGCGCTGCAGCAGGAGCTCCAGCGCGCCGCCGCGGCCGCCGCTGAGCAGGAGGGCGGCGCCGCCGACGCGATCTCAGCCGCGCCGTCCGCGCCGCCGTTCGTGTCGGAGTGCCAGGTCGCGGACATGGCGGCGCTCACGCCTTCTGAAATTCTGGAGATGGTCGCGTGGGCCGCCGCCTGCCCACGCGGCGACAAGACCGCGCGCGCGCTCGCGGCGGCAGCGGCGGCGGAGGACCCATCTGCGCTGTACCACGGCGCCGCGCCCGTCCGCGGCCCTGGGCAGCGGCACGCCGTGGGCGTCGCAGGCGATTCCGGGCTGGCGGATGCAGGCGGCCTCGAGTCGGAGCCGATTGCCCCGCAACACCTGCGGCACCTGCTGCGACAGCTGCGGCTGCGGCTGCTGTCGGGGTCGGTGGACGGCACGTGGATGCAGGCGACGTTCCCGCATTGGCGGGCGAGCCTCCGGCGGATCATGGTCAACGCCCAGATCAAGCGGCTGGAAGCCGAGCGGGCGGAGGCCGAGGGCCGCGGCGGCGAGGGCGAAGGGGAGGAGGGCGCGGGCGAGGAGGCGCAGGAGGAGGAGGAAGAGGAGGAGGAGGAAGAGGATGAAGAGGAGGGGACCGGCGGCGCGACTAAGGTGTCGCAGGCGGCGGTGGAGGCGATTTTGGGGGCGGCCGCGGGCTGGTGCATCGAGCAGCGCGCGGTGACGACGGGCACGATGTCGCTGCTTCGGCAGGTGAGGAGGCGCGGGCTGGGGTTGTGTTTGAGACTTTGAACGGGGCGTGCCGGTCTAAGGCCACGCCCGGCGCCGGCCCGGCGGACGCAGGCCGTTTTGTGGGCTGCGGTTCGCCCCTTGCCAGGCACCTGTGTCTGCACATGGTGGCGGCGCAGGCGCCCGCGCCGGCCCTCTTCGCGGCGGCTTGCTCCAATCGCGCGGCTTCCGTGGCCCATCCCCCCTCCTCCCAACAACCCCTCGCTCCTCACGCAGGTCCAGAGAATCTGCCTGGAAGCTGCCGTCCCCGCCCTGCTGGACGCGATCCTGGAGTGTGCCAAGCACAAGCCCGAGGTGGGGCTGGTCGCGCCGCCCGCGTGGGCTGGGGTTGCAGCAGCGTCGGTGGTCTTGGTGGTGGAGTTGAGGCGTCGCACTGGACCCGGTCTTGTCAATGGACCTCTGGGCGGCTGTGACTGAGCAGCGACGCGTGCGGCAGAGCTGTGCCGTGCTCCTTTGCATGACCTGACCAGGAATCCGCGCACACCCCTGTGCTAACACCCACACGAACCATCTCGTTCTTGTTCACCAAATGCTTACAGGAGTACATCTCTGACATTGACCTGCTGACCGTGTACCTCGAGCAGGTCAGCCGGCCTGATGCACCACTGATTTCGGCCCGATTCCGGCCGGACTGTCCCTGCACTCTCAGCGCCTGAAACCTCCTCTCGCACCTGCTGACCCGGCAATCTGTCTGACTCTCTCTGTCCCTCGTCACTGGACCCCTCCCGTTGCTCCCTCACCCCTTTCACATTCCCCCCTGTTTTTCAATTCCGTAACCCCAGATCGGAATCGCAAACGAGGTGATGCAGTTCTTCGGGCTCAACAAGTTCCGCCTCGGACGCATCCTCTGGGCCCGCCACCGCACGCACCTCCCCAGACCAGGCGCCGCCGACGATGCGGCCTCGGACGGCGCGGCGGACGACGCATCTGAGGACTCGACTGCCGCAGACCTCTTGTCCGAGGCGGCGGCGGCAGCGGCTGCGGCGGAGCGCGTGGCGCCCAAGGGCGGCGCCGCGCTGCTGGGCGCGGGGCAGGCGGCCCCGAATCCGGCCCCGCAGGAGATGACGCGGCCGGCGGCCAGCAAAAACGCCGGGCCCGAGAAGCAGCAGGGCCAGGCGGGCGGCAAGCAGGAGCAGCAGCAGCACCAGCAGCAGCATCAGCAGCAGAAGGACGCGGCGTCGGCCGACGCAGCCAAGGCGGCAGGGGCGGCTGCGGACAAAGACGAGGATGCGCGCCCTGCGCCGGCGATGCCGCCGGACGACCCAGATTCGGACGGCGCGGCCCAGCACACCGCGCTGTTCTCGCTCTGGGTGGGCGTGCCAGTGGGGGTGCTGTTATATGGAAAGAGGACCTTGAGGGATCCTGGTTCCTTTGCAGGCTTGCGCGCCCCGCGGCGGCTCAGCTGCCATTCATCCGATTGGACCTCCTGCCTGCCATGCCGCTGATCCCCCTGAAGAAGTGGCCTCCAAAACTAGAGGGGGTGGTTATTACAACCACCGGCACTCGTCCCTAAACGGCTGTGGTTCACCCCTCAAAATTGGCCTGCAGGTGGGGAACGGCCTGTTCTGGGTGGTGCCCTTCCTGCTGCAGTGGCTCGCATCCCGGACGATCGGCAGTGGCCTCATCGACAACGGCCGCCTTGATGACAAACACTTTGGGTGCGGAGGCAATGGAGGGGGCAGGAAGGGAGATGAACGCATCGAGGCCGCGTCCGACGCGACTGTGCGGGCATGGGAGCGCCGCTTTCCGCATGCGGCTGCTGGTTGGATCGCAAGATGGATGCTGCTTCAGTGAGCGCGGCGTTCGGTGTAGGACGGACCACCGCTGCGAGCGTTTTGTGTGATGTGACGAGCAGCTATGCAACCGCATCTTCTCACTGAACTTCACGCCAACCATTTGATGTGCGACAGCTGGATGGTCTGGTCCTTCTTCATGGCGTACTTCGTGGCAGGAGGGTACTACAATTTGGTCATGCACTTGCAGCTCTACCACAGATGGCGGTGAGCAGGGCGGCAGCGGCTCCCGCCCCCACTGCCGGCGGCCCTTTCCAACCTGCAGGGAGCGATGCACCTGCCTTGCCAGAGCTGTTGCCGCGCAGTGCAGACCTTGAGCGCAGCTCCCACGCCCAACCTTAATGTAACAAGGACGCCTGCATTCGCCTTGCCATGTGTTTTTCACCCCCTCCTGCTCAGCCTGATCGCCACACAAGCTCATACCGTCGCCCGCCTCCCAAGCACCCCAGCGCCCCAAAATCCTTCCCACACGCCAAGCATCGAACCTCCGTCACGTGATCCACAATCCTCCACCCAATCCCCCCCGGACCAGGTTCTCTATGCCGTCCATGCTGATGGCCATTGTCCAGGGCCTCGTCAGCTCCTTCTTTATGTATGCCGCCGCCTGCGGGTTCATGGTAGCGTACGCGCTGCTGCGCTACCGCAGCATAGAGATGGCATGGTTCACGTCGGCGGCGTTCTTTATCATGTCGCTTTACATCACGCAGGTGCGTGTGTGGGTTTGTTTCCTGTGTGGGTGTGACATGTATGTTGTGTGTGTGTGTGGTGTATGTGTTATGGGTGGAGAATGGTGTGGGTGTGTGGGTTTGTGGGCGTGGGGGTGTGTGGGTGTGTGTGTGGGGGCGGGGGAGGGGAGGGGCAGGCGCGCAGCGCCCGGGAGCGCATATGGGGGGCCAGCCTGCGCGGCGGCAGGCGACGCCAAGCGGCAAGCTGGCCCCCAGTTGCTGCACAAACATCCGCCAGCTGCCGCCTCGATGGCGCGACATCACGGCATTTGTTAAATTGCATCTTGCGCGCGCATCTTGGTCGTCTTACGGTGCTCCCTTTCCCATGCCAATCATGACTCCTGATGCTGGTTCTGCTTTCGCACTAGGTCCCATCAAAGCACAAATTGCCCCAAACACCTGCTGCCCCGCCCCCCGCAGCTGCTCATGCTCTTCTGCTCTTCAACCGAAGCCAATGCCTGGACCAGCGTTCCCGGCCGCACGGTGCTCTTCATATTCTTCTTGCAGGCAGCAGTCAACCAGGTGGGGCGGTGGCGATGCCAAGCGCGCACAGTGTCAGGCGTGTCCTGGTGTGTATGTGTGTTGCATCTGTTCATGCAGTGTGCATGTATGTGTGTGTGTGTGTGTGTGTGTGTGTGTGTGTGTGTGTTTATGTAGTGTGTTTCTGTGCGCGAGTGTGTGTGGGGGGTCTGTGGGTGGGTGGGGGGGGGGGGCATAGTGGCAG